CTTTACTTTTCAGTTTTATGCAAATAATTGTTAATAATAATAACTATTAGTTGCCAGCTTATAGCAAAAAACTATTGCACTCATGCAGAATTTTTCTGAATAATCTAGTAGCATTTACCTGCGTTAATTAATTCAGAGAAGCTCAACCAAATACCGAATGTTTCACATTTATTGCGGAATGGGTTATTGTAAAATATTTCCTTATAAATCAGTTGAATAGATTGAATTAGATTTAAAGTCAAATTACTATCCTTTTTTCCAGCAATTCAAACGCTTGAAACAAAAAGAACCCATGCCTCATAAATTAATTATTTATTATTTATCAATAAAATTTTCAAGCTCTAAATTAAAAATTCTGCAATAATGTCTAGTTACAGTATAAAGTGTGTCCTCCATTGCCCTGCTATATAATTTTTTTTTTTTTTTTTTTTTACTTTTAAACGCCAGATTAAAATGCAAGGCTAGTTAGTCAGGTTGATGCAAGGACGATTAGTCAGCAGCGGCATAAATTAGCTGTAATTATTCAGGCAGGTGGAGAGAAGCGGCTGTAAACCGAGTATCTGGCTGCATTCGGCGGACAGGCCTTTAATAAAAAATTTAATTTTGTGAATGCTTAGCGCGCGGTGAAGTGGCCCGTGCGTTGTTAATGAATGGGAGCTGCTCGCCGTCCTGGGGGAAATAATTTAAAAGCAGTTTTTGCTGCAAAACGCGAGGGCGAAAAACATACCGCAGCCTTTGATGGCGAAATTTACCAATTTACTTTGCTCGAAAATCCACCTCCCCTTGGGAAACAAACTTCGTATTTTGTGAAATAAATAAATAAATAATGCCAACGTCGATCAAAGGTGTTGGCAGGAAAGTCGCACCGCACGAATTCTCGGTCCCAAACTATGTTGACAAACAGCAAGAATTTCAATATAGCGCCGAGAGTTGATAATTTTCAGGCAACCTTGCGCGTCTCTCGTCTAATTTAATAAGAGCACAGAGGCGCTCACTCGCGTCACTCGAACTGTTTCATTAGATCTCTGTTTAATTACTGAAACCTCTTAGTCGGGTATGGCAAAATTTAACTTATGCGCCGAGTCCCTGGCACGCTGCTGATATTGCGAATTGTTTTTGCGAGAAGCCTACTTTGGCAGAGACGCGCTGAATAAAGCTCATCATTTACTTGACACGCGCCTCTCTTTTTCGACAGTGACACATTTCTGCTTTCACCGTCAACCCAAAATACACATTTCTGCCGCTTTTGTGTTTATATTATTTCACGCGGAAAATAGAGAGGGTTAATAATGGCACTCGATATAGTTTAAAAATATTGTTATTTTGGGAGGTGAAAGATAAACTCACCCACGAAATTCATGATGAGCGATGATTCCAAGCACCTCCCATTTTATTCAAAAATATTAAATGTAGCAAAGCAATTTTAAATGTGGAGTATAATGTATAATTTGTTTATAGAAATTGACGTTCCTCGTACACCAAGCAGTAGTTTATACCACATTACATATTTACTAACTTTAGGGTGATGGTCATGTAAATATAATTATTTTCCATTTTATTTAAATTTATTATTACTGCAATAGACAGAAGTTGGAATAAAATAAAATTTAACTATTTTAAAAATTCTTAAAAGACGTTTAAAATTCTAAATATTTAAAAAAAATTTAGGTTATGATGTTAAAAATAAAAATAACACAAATTGATTTAAATAATTATAAGTAAAAATTATTATATAAAGAAAACTTCAATAAATTACTAGTTCCATAACATACTATCTGATCTAGTTTTAACTTATGGAAAAGAATGGAATGCAATGAAAATTAGTATCAGATGCACATATTATAATGAGGAGAAGTTATGTATCGAAACAATAACTTTGATAAAAGTAGCTTGGTGACGTTTAAGAAATCAATAAAATACCAATCGCGTCATGCTTATTGCAGTTGCAGCAAAAGTTCAAACTGCACATACTTCATTATTTGTGAGAAAAGTAGAGCACAGACTGACTTTGGCATAGATATGATTCCTGTTCCAAATGCGAAGAGTAAGTATTGCCGATAATTGGGTGTAAAGATAGCGTGGTGGAGCTATTTGTGTTCTTGCAGCTCGAGTGAGGAGCCGTTTCCATGGGAACCGAATTAATGCGCGAAAATGTCAGAATTCGCGTAGCCGGACACAATGGGGCCAATATCGAATTGCAAAGCGGACGGGCGCGCTCGATCTGTGTGACAGCAGTGTCTCTTTCACTGCATATATAGAATGTCAATATTTGAGCTCGGGCGTATAATCTACGTGAGGAATATCAAGAATCACTGCCAGAAAGAAAGTCTGCAAAGTATAAGTCTGCCCCGTATGCTGAATAATTTTTCCCACTTTTTCGTCTTATTCTTTCGGAGACACTCGCTCGCCTTTCAATTTTACGAGTTTTGGCACTGCGTCGGAAAACAAGTCAGTGCCAGCAGGTTTTTTATTTATGCGTTACGTATAAATGGCGTCAAATGTAGCCCGGGCAAAAAGGTGGAAGGCCAAATTTCTGTCGGGCACGGCGAAATATCCGTTGGCAACGGAAACACCACCAAATTTTTCCTGGCCAGAAATCCTCAAAGAGGCCATTTTCTATTATTGCGGTGAATTATGTATAGGGCACGCTCTCCCTGTGCGGTTACCAAGTGTGCTTTATGGATACATGAATTTGGCCAAAGACGGAATATTAAAATAATATGAGGATTTTACATGATTTTTTTTGTATAAAACGCGCCATTTCCTCTCTATGATTATTTAAAAAAAATATAATACATCTTTTTGATAATTCATGAAATAAATAAATGAATATTTAGCATAAATAATGTGTATGTATTCAAATTTCAAGTTGAAATAGTTGCAACAATAGCTTTATTTTAATTAGATGAAAGATATGTGTCAGTGTTATAATGATTTTAATCTAATAAATATTATTATTTTATCAAAAGCTAATTTTTGTTATTTAGTTTCATTTATTAATTTAGTAAATTTTGTATACGAAACGAAACTATAAAAATATAATTTTCTAAAAGTATGGATTGTACAAATAAAACTTACATACGAATTATTTGCATATTACTTTAAATTCAATGATGTAAAATATAATTTTTTTTTTCGTTACAGAATTTAAATATTCTTTGAAATGTTGTGAAAATAAGTTCACCTCATTTATTTTTATCCTGTTTGCCTACATTCTTTATGGTTTCTTCTCATTTTGAGATGACATACAACATAGAACAAGATGGAATTTATGCTGTTGTTTTTGTTTCCAGTTCATTTCATGATTCGGTAAATTGCCTGTCAACTTTTGAAGGGATGATCAAAGAATCCATTTGGCGAGCATTCACATATAATCCACCTGCTGAAATCCCTCGCAATAAATCATGTCAAAAGAGAGAGCTGTCGAGAGCAAATTTTTTAAACGGAAATCGCCAACGGCCGTCGCGTATAATTCCACCCTAATCTGGAAATATGAACCGTCCGGCCAGCACCTCTTTCTCTCCCAGCTCGTATATTTGCAAAATAATGGAAGAGAAAAGTGAGAGCGCTGCCGTTTGCATCCCCTCCGGCTCAGCGCATATAATCAGATTACAAAATCATTAAACTCGCGAGGCTGAATGCGTAATTTTCCAGATATGCTCGCCATTTTTCATCCCCCTCTGCTTTTTATGGCAAACTGATAATTCATTCTCGCGCACTCTTTATGTGGAGAAAAAGTACTTTTGCCGCCGCAGGAACGAGGTTCTTATATTGAGAAATAACGACGCGCTATGCTTTACTTGCGCCGGGGTGCATAAGTATAAAGGCGTGCATCCTTGTCGAGCGTATCGGTGTGGAATAGCACGAGAAAGAGAGTATCGAGCCAAGTGCCTCTAGTCCAATAAACCGCACCCCCAAGTCAAACCGCAATTTTGCCAACGCAGCTTCGCAATATAGACAAATGAAATATGGAGCTCCATCTAAGAACTATCAAGGTTTTGTCTAAATAAATTTGAGGTGAATTATTTGATGGCTAAAATATACGACTTTTATTTTAAATGATAATTATTGAAATATATTTCTACGTCAGCCAATGTAGAAATATATTTCTGGTATCAAAACCAAATAAGAAGGGAATTTAATTAAACAATTAATTTGTAATAAAAATAAATAATCATTAAACTAATGCTGACACCAACAAATTTTAAAGATGAATAATAAATTAAATATTTTTTTTGTTACTTTTTTAATTTTCAAACTTAACTTTGCATTTTATTATTTTCATCAACTCCACTCAATTTTCCAAAAAATCACCTTATCCATCACGCCAAAATAAATCCGCTGAAGCGGATCAAAATAAGATTTTGTTAAAACATTTCACCCCCTCCGCCCTCCGCATACAGACAATCAAAGTATGCAGCGCAAAATTCCGCCCAGACCATTATTATTAAATTCCAGCGACAGCGCAAGGCGGATTTTCGCGCCCACACTGCTCTCTCTTGCTCTGCAAAAGATATTATTATTATGCTCTGGCGAAAGCGTCGAGCAACACTGCTCCATTAATTATATTTTCTTTTCATACTACATATCTGCCTAATGAAGCCGTTGGAAAAGAGCCGCACAAAAGCGAGGCCGCCCCCAAAACTGCGGCGTGGCACAACAAGAAGAGCTCCAGCCGGATCCACCACTCTCATTAACGCGCCAGTCAGTATATGGACGCATTATTCCGTGCATTGAATGGAAAAATAACGAGCCGTGTCTTCGCGATTCATTAATTCCGACGCAGATTTCACGTCATCATCACTTTTTCCACCAAAGGAAATTCTCACAGACCTGCATTTTTTTCCCCTTCATATTAATCAATCTTGGTTGCATCAGTTGGTAATAATAATAAAGTAATGTACGTCGTTGAAATAAATGCTAATCTAATCTGGGATATTTGCTCTGGAGAGGCGCAATAAAATTTCAAAAAGGCGCACCGAGCGCCACCCGCATAACAGATAAGCGACGCATTCCGGCAATGGCAGTCACCATCAGGGTTTGTTCAATCTCCGTAGAGGTGCCTTGATCAAACATTGAGCTTTCATAATGTTAATTCGATTTCTTTATCTCAATTTTAGGTGCTTCTTTTGTCGGTGGCGTTCGCTTACGGACGGGAATGTGGGGACAGAAACTTTCTCTGCAGGAGTGCCAATCAGGTCCAGCAATGCGTGGACGGGGTCGCAATGGGCCATGTGTATGGCTGCGACCCCGGATTGTTGTGCGATAACAATTCAAAATGGGGACCTTGCATTTCCGAACCTGAAGACGCTTGCTGTGAGGAGGGACTTTTCCCAATTAACGGTGTGTAGATTGCTCTCAAAATTAAATCATTTGACAACGAAACAAAAATCTGAATTTAAAAAAGAAAAGTAAGGAGGGAAGGGCGGTAGAAACGGTTTCACTCACATAATTTCACGAATAATTTGAAATGCTTGTAATATTTTAAAATTTTAATTTATCATTGCTATAAATTTTGAATGTATAAGAAATTGTTTTGGTAAAAAAGTTTTTAATCATTTGAATTTCCCTAGTATTTGTTATTGAATTTTTGATATTTAAATTATGATCAGTATTACTTCAGTGGCAAATCATTGATACGCATTTATTTATTGTTAAATATTTCATTACATCAGTTGTATCTTCGAAGCACTTATTTATAAGTTATTAGGTTTTGAATTACACAAATTTTATTTCTTTTTGATACATCTTTAAGTTTTTAAAATAAAAAAAACTTGTAAATCATTTAATATTTAATTAAAACAAATAATCTTTAATCTGAAAAAAATTATGCAATAAAGAAAATATGTTATTTTGTTAAAAAATTTTTATTCAACTTTTAAAAAACTTATATTACAACTAAGTAACGCAATTATAATAAAAATGACATTTATTATTTTTATTTGTACTACTTACAATTATATTAAGTTTTACTATTTAATATTTTCTTAAAAATTTTCCAGTGCTTAACATAAACTTTTGTGTGCTAACTTTCATTTACTTTTAAAAGGTTCATGTACGATTTTCATGAGCTGCGTGCACGACGGCCAGAATTGGTCCCGACACTTTATTTCCTGCGCGGCCGACTTTGTATTCAACCCGACAATCTCCCGGTGCGAAAGAAAGGCAGCAACTTTCACGGGCTGCCCGATTACATGGGGCGAGGAATCTGGCGGCGGCAGCACGACCGTTAGTGTCACGACCACGACCAGCCCCAAGCCGCCAGCAACGACGACGAGAATGCCCGTGTGCTCCAGCCCGGGTCATTTCCCCGACCCGGACAGTTGCAGACATTACTACGTCTGCTCGTGGGCCGCTGGAGGCGGTGTCAAGGCCGCCAGAACGCAGTGCGTTTCAACTTTGCTCTTCGACACTAGATTGAGGCAGTGCGTTTACAATACCAACTGTGGTGCCAGACCCTTTTAAATGTTTCTGCGTTTCTTAAAATATGTAAATTCCTGATATCTTATATAATATTTGCCATAAAAATTTCATTTTGGAGATATATTATAAAAAGTTTAATGAAAAATCGGAGCATTAATAAGCATTTGTTTTACAAACAGAAAAAAATTATATCGAGGCAAGCGGGATATTAATTTTCTCTTGACGAACGATAATATGCAAATGAAAGTAAAAAATATGTGAAAATATCTTAGGATATTAAATCCTTTGTTTTTAAAGGAGCTGAAATTTTCAATGATGTCCATATTTATCAAAATTTGCTATATTCCCGAGAAATTTTTGTTTTTAGAATCTCCATATCAGTTATGCCTCCTGAAAAATCACACAAAATATCAAATTCATTTCCGTCTGGCAATACATATAATTTTTTAATGTAATGAAATGCGTTTCATTAAAAAATAACATAGAGTTCCACAAACGCATGTTTGTATTTTAAAAGATCTGGAAAACATTTTGATGTTATGTGTTCCAAAATTACCTAATTGGAAAAAATTTTCAATTAAAATATAATATATTTCATTACAGGTCATTTTCATTTACAAACTGCAAAAAAAAATTAACCTTAAAATCTTATACACATAATTTTATTTCTGTACTTATAAAGATTAAATTTGCCTAAATTCCTTCATTACTGATGTTTTTATAACTGAAAAAAGTGAAAAAGCTGGACAAAGAGAAAAAGTACTCTAAGTGTAATGAAATCATGTGTTTGAAAACCTGGTTGATGGATATATCGAAATCAAGTAACTGCACCATTGTACATATTGAAGGAGAAAGACTTGCTTTCAACAAGGCAACAACAATGCCCATTTTTGTCGCTCCTTGAAAGTCTTCAGGAGCTCTAACTTCTTCACTCCTTTTTTTTTAAACTTAAATGAAAAATAAAAATCATAAAAATATTGTATGCCAAGGCGATAAGTTGGTTTAATTGAATGTTAAACTCATAATTGTGCACGCAATTTCAATTGACGTGGAAAATTATCAGTTATTGTCAACCATGTTAATTGGAGCACTAATTTGAGGTTAGCATTGTTCTTGATTATTACTCACCAGTTTCGTAGTTTTCGTTGCTCTCGTCATTGTCCTCGTTGGCTGACACAAGTGGCAGCCACAGAAGGGCGCCAATTAGCATGGCAACACGAGCCCTCATCGTGACACGCGTCCAGGACACCTCACATGATCGGGGTCTGCTCGCAAACTGCCGGTCGCACACCGGGAGTCTGGCTGGCTGGCAACCCGCCGAGCAGGGCGCATGTCCCTTAATTCCTCCTGCTCTCGACTGTTTGAGAGTGGCGCGCATAACACACTTTTGTTTCTTGCCTTCTTTCTAATGAGATTCGGCGACGAAAAAAATCCGCCTTAAATTTGTCGTTAATTAACCTTGGCACAAAGACAAGGCAGGGTGGAATTCAAATAAAAAATATGAGAGCAGACGTGATTCGGGGGGATATGATTGTGCAAATGTCGCAGTGAGAGAGAAAGAACGGGGGAGTGTATCAATTTACATATTTTTTCCCACTCTCAAGTCGAGCAAGATTTTTTGGTCCCCGGTCGCTTTTTTGTTTTGTTGGAGAGAGAGAGAGAAAGAGAGGAAACGCGCGTCGGCACTCTTTTGATCATCAGCACTTTAATTTATATGCTAATTATTTTTCGACGACTCGACCCCAGTTTTTTCCAGCGGCAGCAGGCACTCGATGTCACCTTATCTTGACTTTTGAATCTGCCCCATTGTTTAAATCAGAGTTGTATTGATTTGTGCTAATCCATTTCCTTTTTCTTTTCTTTGATAGTTTAGACTACAATAATCAGATGTCATAATTTTTTAAACTAGTTTTTCTTGATTTGAAACCAATAGTCAGTTCTTTTTATTACAGAGTCGATGAAAAAATATATCAAATATTATGTATTGCTTTTATTATAATATCAAGTAAAAGCGTACCTTAGCCATAATGAAATCAGGAACATTATTGTCACATATCAATGGATCGCATGTTCTGTGTACAAGTTGTGATAATTTTAACCTTAATTTAACCTTATTTCTAAATAGCACAAATAATTATTCATTGGAAGGTAAAAATCAATTTCTTTTTTATAAACAATATAAAATATAAATATACAAAATAATTTATTCAATAAAATATCAATAGAAAAAATAAAAAACTATTTAAATTGGAACATGTTTCATGTTTAATAATTCTGCCTTTAAAATTTGTAAATTAAAATTTTTATATTGTTTGATGTTGTAAATTATATTACATTACACATTGCGTTATTTAAATTTTTTTAACAAGTATGCTCATAACTTCAAGCAGTTACTATCCAATCAAGACCGTAAAAAAGATTTGGTTCTTTATTATCTCTTAATTGACAAAAAATATATACTCTCATCTAAATAGTCAGAGTTGGCTAACAAAATAGTTCAATCATCAAGGGTATTTAATTAAAATTTACTGATTTTAATTTTGCCAAGTACAATGAGTATCAATTTCTGAATTTATATATAAATTAAAGACACTTCTATTTTCATATAAATTATACCCTTAACTTCCGAACTTTGATAGGAAAACTTTTCCCATGTTGATAATGAACCCACCGTTCATTCCCTCTGCTCGCAATTAAAATACGCCGTTTTCATATCGGAACAATGGAAAGCCTACAAGTTTTAAAACAAGAGCAGTAATTGTCGACTATGACGACAATTGTAAAATTGTTCCAATCATGTTTTACACGCGCCCTCAATCATATTGACGCGCGAATCTGGGTCTCTCTGTGCTCGGCGCAATCAAGGGAGTGCGGCTGACGCAATATCGGCGCAATTAATTGCTGCTGCTGATTCACTCTTCGCAATCGACGCACAAAGCGCCACTTCATTTTGCTTTCACAGATCGGAAAGCTGTTTTGACAGGCCGTGGCGCTTTGCTGGTTCGCGAGTGTTGACACTTTTGGCTCTGTATTGTGAGCGGCGCAAAACAAAGCATCCACTTCATCCAGTTTGATAAATGGGTCGCCTTGTTTTTCTATAAAAAAATTTCTTAGTGCTGTATATTGCAGCTTTAGATTTTGGGAAATGAATTAGAAATTTCATAATAAGTTTTATGTTACAATCAATTATTGCTTTCTTGTTCTCCTTTTGCAAAACTATGTTAATTATCAATTTGTTGTAATTAAATTTTTTAATAAAGAAGCAAATTTATTTTTCTTTCAAAATCATGTTTCAATATAATTTTACTATTGATTTTATTTTTTTTTAAGATATTTTATGTATCATAGAATGTGAAAAAAATTTAAAGAGTTTTATTATATCTGATTTAAAAAATCTTACTCAAACTGTAAAACGTAAAATAAAAACAATTTCATCAAACTTTGTTCCTTTAAACTAACATTTATTATTAATTTAATTATAAAAATATGACGTAGCAGCTATTCAGTGAAAATGTTGGCTGCCCCATGATACACAGGCCAAAAACAAGCACGCCAACAAATGATGGCGAGTGTATGGACGGGGTTCAAACAACACGAGCACAAAAGATGTGCGATGAATGGGCTCGTTTGCGTGCACAGGCAGCCACTGTTTTTCTTCCAGCGCCAATAAGCTCCATGTTAATTAGAACTGACGATGTTTTTTCCCACTATCTTGGCCAACCTTGCTTCTCTCTGCTCTTCCTGTGTTTCCCCTCCAACGACCTATTTGGACGCTAATGCGATGTCTGGGTGCGCCCGACGAGTTCCGTTTTTCATCCGTCATTTTTCAAGCTACTGCCATATTATATTTATATATACGAATGCTCACCAAAAAGAGAAAATTTGCGAGAGCCAGTGCAAAAAGTTTGGCGTTTGCAGCCGGCTCTCTCTCTCTCTCTCTCTCAACTCTTTTTGACTTCATTCTGTCAAACGCCACCGGCCTCATCTTTTTGTCAATATTTCATGATACCCCATGCAATGGAATTTCCGTTGAGCTTTGCCCATGATCATTCTTCCAGCTGTCACATGAGGGAATTACGAGAGAGTTAAATACGCCCTAAAAATAAAAAATAAAATAAAATTGTAGCATTTAACTTCTTCAAAACAAATTAATCACTGTTATTATTTTCCAATGAAATAATAGGTATCACATAATTAGTTTTGAGTCAACCTCCCTGTAGTAAGATATATGTAATAAATAAATTATTAACGAGAAAATGTTGCATTGCCAAATAAAAATATGGGTTTGACGAAATTTAGAGAAATAAGTCATATTATGAATTTTAAAATAAAATTTTTGTTACTTCATTATGACGAATTTCGTTTTCTTTTAGTGTCCATTGGCTAACTTCATAATTTTTATATAAAGTCATCTCCTCAGAGTAAGCTTCCCTTTTTTACTGTCTGCTTGTTTTTCAAATAAATATATGTATATTTTTATACTTTGGAAGACTAAACGACGCAAAATCTAGTGTAGAAAAGAAAAATCAATTTCAATTTTAAACTGTTTTATGATATTTATAAAAAAAAAGCTGAACAAAACTCAGTTGTTCTTAACAATATAAGTAGAATACTATAATAATATTTTTGCAAATATCAATTCATCCGTCTGAAAAGGAAATTTTCTGCTCTCTTCACAAGTAATCACTCATATCTTTTATTTTTTCAAAGTAATTACACAACGAGTTTTAGCACATCCATGTGGAAACGGCCCTGCACTTTGTAAAAACACATTTTCATTAAAATGCTTTCTGTTGGTAGCAGACAAGGCACGAAACCCGCATTTCATCTCTCTTCAGGTAACATCTTGGTTTCTCTTGACACAACATATGTTCCTCCGCCAAAAAGCAGCCTTTAATCATGGCGATGAGTACTTTTATATGTATGAACACAAATGTAACATGGAGAGAGAAGTTTTAAGGCTTACTCTACTGACAATTCCTTCTGATATTATACGCGTATACATCGTCAACCGAGTTTTGTTTCTGCCCAAATAAAGCACCAAGAATGATAATAATACAATGGCAAAGCAGACGAAAAAGCTTTTTCTGCAAATGAATTCTCAGTGAAATGAAAATGTTGTGCAGACCGGAGTGTGCGAGTCACGGTCTGGAAGTTTTGTAATCATTTTCGAGCTCTTACTTTCAATGTACATCTTGTTTGTTTGAGCAAAAAGCAGGTTGGAAGCTTGTTTAAGTATAAATGCGTTTATCCTTTGACATTTGAGAATAAAAACATCTTTTGCTACTACAAATTCATTTTTCTTCAGTCTCTATTTCAATGATTTGTTTACAAAATAAATAAATTCGATTCAAAACTGTTTATTTATACATTTTCTTTGCTTGTTTATAGGTAAAATTGATAAAAAAAATAGGGTTTTTTTTAATTTGAGATAGTAAAAAATTATCGATTCTCAACTTATTTGTTGATTTAATTAAAAAGAAAGATAAACAAGATTAGCAGATTAGTACGACAAAGAACAAAAAAAAATTTTTTTAATAATGTGAGCACTTAATACGATTCTCTGCAATGCGTACTTTTGAATATTATCACTATTAGTAAAATTACTAATATTCAGAAGAATTTTTCATGCAAAAAGGTATGAGTTTGCTGATAGTTTATTTATTTGCAGCTGATTTTAATTATCAGAAAAGTCTATAAAGAGCAAGAACATAATGTAAGTACAAAACTTCAAGCTCATTTTCACGTTCAGGTAAGGAAAGCGCTCTTTTTATAAATTCATAAATTTTATTTAATCACAGATTTAAAGTACATTATTGGTAAATTTAATTTTAATGAGCTGAGCATTACAAGTTTTGTTTTGATGTTAAAAGTCATATTAAATTGAATGCAATTTTTTTTTTTTGTAAATAATTATTTAGTTATAAAATTTCAAAGAAGTAAAATACAAATTATGTTGATCCACGTAGCTCGCTCTCTGCATAGTACATAATTCTCCAGGCCATATAATAAATTCGAACGCGAAAACCGGCGCTGCGAGGCCAACCAAAGGCGGCGCGAGGAACAAATACTGCCTGCAAGTGATCGGGCTTATAAATGCGAGAAATAGGAAAGCACCGCTTAGGGGGGCCAACAACAAACAAGGATCAAAGCGATTCGCATATTATATTGGAGACGAGGAAACTCGCCGAGAGAGCATAATGTCTCTCTCGCGTACGCTTTTCTTCATTCCTTCGGTCTTTGGCCGACGGATTTATCCGTATTTGTCCATGGAAG